ATTCCTGATTTAAACCGGTGATCTTGTGAGCAGCTGCAGCTGTATGCTTTTATTTTTTCATGTCAGGCTGTCGCGGAGCTCTCCACTCCTCTGTCCTGTGAGGCGGACAGCTCAGCCGAGGCTGTCACGTTCTCTCGTCCTGGCCACACCTCCGCTCTCTAACCCCCCCTTCCCCTACCCACACCCCCTCCCCTACCCACTTTGATGCTTTTTTCAAATTTCGCCTTGGGGCGGAGTTATCTTTTCACAGCGGGGTAAGATACACTTAAAAAAAAGACCAGGGACTTCCTTTTCTTAAAGAGTTCCCCTTTTATGTCACTTCCTGTTTCACTTTGAGCCAAGTTCAAAAGAGGATATGCCAGTTATGTGACAAAATGGGTTAAATCGTGTTTATTATGCAAAGTTTCTTAAATATAAAAACTTTTTCTTTGATTTTTTTGTATTTGAAGGACCTGCACGTCACAGGCACCTTAAATATTTTACTCAGCTCAGCACTGGGAGAAATGGGGAGTTTTTATGACAGGCGTGTTCAGGGTAGGCACTCTGAAATGTCTTGTGAGAAGTCACCTGAGCCTTTTAATATACACACCACATTTCATGCTAGTACAGATTCCCAGTCACCCAGGACATGGCTAAATAAAAACAGAACAAAACTGGATAAACAAAAACAAAACAAAAGAGGATAAACAAAGATATCAATGGTTATCTGCAAACTGCTGCTAGTTTTATCTCCTCCAGAGCAGACTGGTTCACTTCCAGTAGGAATGTTTTAATATTTCTGCCAAACGTAATCATGAAATGTGAAACCAGTGGTGATGTAAAGCTTTCTAAAACAGTTTTCCTGTGAAGCAATGTGAAAAACAACATCATTTACTTTGTTCTTAGTAAAAGTTTAAAATGCTAGAAGTGGGTAAATTAGATAGTGATTTTTTAAATGTTTTTAATCAAATTGAGCCTCTCACGTGTGTGAAGACCTCAGATTTGTGTTTCTGTGTGGTTCTCTCATCCTCGCTGCTCTCTGATTCTCTGCCTACAGGAACTGAAGCATCTGATCCTGGAAGCAGCCGACGGCTTCCTGTTCGTGGTGTCGTGTGAGACGGGCCGCGTTGTTTACGTCTCCGACTCGGTGACACCTGTCCTCAACCAGCCGCAGTCCGAGTGGCTGGGCTCCTCGCTGTACGATCAGCTCCACCCAGACGACACCGAGAAGCTCAGAGAGCAACTCTCCACCTCGGAGAACAACAACACAGGTGTCAGACGCAGCAGAAACGAGGTGGGGAGGGGGGAGGAAGGTTGAGCACTAAATTTCGTCGTCTCTGCTTTTTGAAGGGAGGATGTTGGACTTGAAGACGGGGACAGTAAAGAAGGAGAGTCAGCAGTCGTCGGCCAGGATGAATATGGGAGCCCGTCGATCGTTCATCTGCAGAATGAGGTCAGATTTAAGAGATTATTTTCTTTTACCGTCTTTATTCTGATATTTGTGCCAGGATACGTTAGATCTTTATTATTTTATTTATGTTTTTAGGTGTGGCACATGTCCCGTGGAGCCCATCTCAATGAATCGACTCAGCTTTTTAAGGAACAGAAACAGGTTACCAAAACTTATATTAGAATTATTGTTGAAGACAGTAAATCAGGGCTGTCCAAAGTGTGGCCCGGGGACCGTTTGTGGCCCCTGTACTGATTTTGTGTGGCCCCTGACTGCAGTTCAACAGGGTTCCTGTGGATCCTTAAAAAGTCTTAAAATGCATTGAATTTTACAATCCAAAAATAAGACCTTAATTAGCCTTAATTAGCCTTAAATCAACATTTCACACTGAGGGCTTAAAAATATGAACTCATTGTAAGTACGATGATTGTATTTGTCTCAAACATTTAAATTAGGGATGCACTGATATGAAAATTTCAGCCGATGTCAAAATCTGATATAATTATTGGTGTTATGACCAAAAACTGATATTTACCGATATTACACAAACACACAAATTATGTTATACATACACACACAAACACACAAATTATATTATACATACACACACAAACACACTTGGGTCTTTTTTTGATACCGTAAATAAACAACCAGACCTCTGACACGACTCTATACTTCAGTTATTGCTGCTTTCGCTGCATCAATATCACTATTATGATCAAACAGATGTGGCTCAACCAACCATCTCCCAAAACAGAACCTAAAGCTCAAAAGTGGGAAATCAATATCAGACGTTAATATCGGCCCAGTTTTACATGTCGGACCCATACTGATATTCTAAAAAAATTTCAATATCGGCCGATACCGATATTAGTACCGGTATATCGTGCATCCCTAATTAAAAATAATTAGTAATTTTTTTTTCACAATTCACCAAATTTACTGCAGCTAGTTGTTTTGTGTTAAAATAAACATTTGGGTAAAATTGTTTCTAATAGTTTTTTTTTTTTTTTTTCAAATTTGTGTTTATTGTGAAGTTGGTCTTAAATTTCTTTTCAAGTGGCATTAAAAAGTATTAAAAAGTCTTAGATTTAACTTGCCTTAAGCTGTAGGAATCCTGGTATTATAATAATAATAATAATAATAATAACAATAATAATAAAAATAATGCATTAGTCTTATATAGCGCTTTTCGAGACCCTCAAAGCATCTTATTATAAATGACGCTTAAATTATACAAATTTGTCCTCCCGACACAGGTGTTTGATGTAGATGGAGACTTTCTATTTATTTGTCTTTAAATAACCAGGCTCTTTTTTATTATATATTATAATTATATATTATATATTGACTATTATAAGTATTCAATGCTTAGTTTATTGTTGAGCAGGTAAAGGAAAAATATTTTTGGCCCTCACCTCCTTCTGGACAGCCCTGATGTAAATACAATGCATCCACTCGATCTTTTTTTAGTTGTTCTTTTTGTTTAAAGAGACTAAAGTCTTTCTTACTTCACACCAGGAATGGTTTGGGTTCACCCAAGGAAGGGGAGCCCCAGTTTGTAGTGGTCCACTGTACAGGATGTATCAAGTCCTGGCCCCCCGCAGGTAAAACAATCTGACGTATAATTCTGTTTCTGTAAAATTCACTTCAGAGCATGAGTAAGTCTGTCAAAGATAGTTTAAAAACACAGCATTGTGAGTCTTATTGTTTGTGTTTCAGGCGTGTCGTTAACAGACGATGAAGCAGACAACAACCAGGGGAGCCGCTACTGTTTAGTTGCCATTGGGAGATTACAGGTGTGTTTTCAGTTTCTTCAGATATTTGGATAATGAAGCCGGGGGGTTCAGGTACAGAGACGTGTGCTGTTGCTAATTGTGCAAGCTGGGAATGTTTATATTTGTTTAGATTTTTTAATGGATGATAATTCACGTATTCTGACAGTAAAGCTGAGCTCAACAGTAATGTTCACCTACAATCATTGGTTGACTTTAAAAAAGACTTTCCTTTTAATCAAGCCTATTCTGCCTCTGCATGATTTATCACTGATTTTAATACTTTTAAAAGAATTTAGGAGGTTTTTTTTATTG